TCCTCCTCCTTTCCCCCCTTCCTCCTCCTTTCCCCCTTTCCTCCCTCTCCCAACTTCTTCCCTCTTCCAACTTCTTCCCTCTCCCTCTCCCTCTCTATTCACTCCCTCCTTTCCCTTCTCCTTTTCTCGATTTTTCCCCCACCAAGACCCTTCCCCACCTTTGCTTGCTCTGAAACTAAGAGAGCTTTAGCCCATTTCATTTTTCTCTAATATGATAACTCACTTTAGTCATTAGCAGGGAAAGAGAAGTGTGGTAAAGGCCTTTTTTTAATAAAGAATCAGGGAAAGGAAAGTGCATCGAGTGTAGAAGGACCTTTTTAATGGAGTATTTGGAAAAGAGAAATGCCCAACTACAGTGGAAGGGCCATATTTCATTGGAGTATCAGGAGAGAAAATTGCCCAATTAGTGTGGGAGTACCTTATTCCAGTGGAGCTTATGCCCTTTTAAAAGTATGTGCGTGTTGTCACTAATATGCTATCGTCCTCACATTGTGGGCGTTTTTGTTCTTGACCGAAATCCTGACAGCTTGTTTTGTTTTGTTTTTTCTTTTTTTTTACGATTTTTTTTCCGGCTTGCATCCCCTGGCAATCACTTTTACTAGGATAACCCCGGGGTAAACACATTCAGATGATGTGTTTACCTACTGGAACACAAGTAAAGATTTAGTTATTTCCAGTTCTTCTTTACCCAATGTAGTGTTTCCACTTGCAATTGTCCTTCATCTCCCATATTTCATTGCATTTCAAGTTGTATAGAGTATTTAATAAAATATAAAAAGAGCAAGTTCATAGAAAAACATCATATTGCTTTTCATTTTACTATTAAGATAGGCATCTCTTCGTCAGTTGGAAAAGTGATTTAAAAGAAAGGATAAAGATGATTGTGGCAATAATCATAATGATATGCAAATTATGTTAGGAGGGGAGAAGAAAAATAAAATAAACAGGTAGAGATATGTAAGGAGGGGGAGAACAAAAAATATATAGGTAAAGAGGAAGTATGGATAGGTAGGAGAGTAAGTCTCAAATCATTGCTACATAAGGGCTTCGTTGATTATTTATTTGTGCCTGTTCTGTTTTTTTCTTTGTTTTTTTTTATACTTCGTGTTGTTTGGCTTCTATATTTGGTAATCACTTTAATTTTAACTTTAGTCTTTTTGTGATTGCTATTAAATTTTATGTACAGTTATGCGATTATGTACACATGTCAAATCTGACTACGATATTTTCACACAATGTTGCCAAGCCGTTCTGAACTTGCAAATGACTGTCGAGGCAAAAGAAATCCGGCTAGTTGCCACTATTGCAGTTTGTGTGCTCCCTGTTCTTGATGCGATCAGATATTCTTTCGAAATATCTCGCATTCGTCTTAAACTAGCACTCAACGCATTCGGTACCTAACAGGATCGTTATGAAGTAGTTGATGCGAATTGAATGGCAGTGTTTAAATGTTGCCTTTTGTTCGTGGACGAGTCTGCTTCAGAAGATATCTATAAAATTGGCTGTTAGACATACGGCAAGTGATTTGCAATTCTTATCATTCAGTGTTTTCCGTGTTGATAATTGTCAGCATTCTTGTTTATGCCCTTTATTGTCTCAAGACCATTCATGAGTAGTTTCGCTTATTTGTATATATTTAAAACGTTAAACATGCAGGTAACAGATCGTACCATGATATGAATTAATCAGTGAAATGGACGGCCACTCTGTCTGTCTTCAAACAACCTTAACAAGCCCTTCCCGGCTTGTTCGAGCCTTAACAACCGTATGGCTTGCAACCTCGGTGTTTGGAGTTGGCGCGTCGCTCATTGGTGCGCACACGTCGAGGCAAGTGACGGGCCTGTACTGTGATTGGCTGAAGTCACACGCAGTGACCAACCAGCGCTGTAGGGAGGCGTGCACGCGGCCGCAGGCACCAACCTGTCACACTTGCCCGGTCGTGCGGGCAGATAACGTGTACGTGTGTGAGTGTTCGTCCTACTTCGAAGTTGTCAGTGAAACGTGACAACACTTTTAAATTGGAAAGTCAGCTATATTGTTGACATGTTAGAAGGATGTTACTACGACTCATGGTGCGTAACGCAGGTACATGCGGTTTTGACTGCATTGTTGCTAGGACGACCATTTTATTAGCTGCGACGTAATCTTTCGAAAGCTAGGACTTTGTAAAGCAATTTGCTTGAAATTGCCATAGAATACAACCGGTAAACAGACTGGGCGATTGCAGCGGCCTTTGATTGTCGGTCGTTTAAATTGTTACAGTTGGTGATAATTAGCTAGTTCTTTTAGAAATTCATTTAGTGGCATTCGTCTTTTCTTACTTGGTAAATCGTTCATCGTCATTTGGACTCTGCAAAGTATATGCAGTTATATATGCCCAATAAATGTATCCTCTCGAGGGCGTTCGCTCTCGAGAAACTTCGAGCAAGTTAGCGGTCCAATAGAGTCCATGGATTTCCTCATTATCTCTAACAGCCATAGTATTTGAAACAACTGAACAATTTCCCTTAGAATATATATATTGTGCAGTTCCACTTTACATACCTATACCACTAATGTTTAAAAACTGGCTGAAATTTAGGTATTAAATCTATATTTGCTAGAGAACTGAACGTGTTTTATTTTTAGGGCCAAAAAGAGGCTAGATGGTGAAGACGTTTATGGCAGCAAGATATATTGTACATTTGGTAAGAATTTTGACAAGGAAGGATCCCCAAAAGTAGATAGTAAGTATTGCCTTTCTTTCTAAATTTAATTTGATTTGAAAATTTGAAAATATAAACTTCCTTTTTGAAATTTGTAGTAAGTTCATAATGGTAAAAATACAAATTATGTTGCACATTGTTGCATGCCTTCTTAGTATTAGGTTCTCAAAACATTTTTTCTTGCACCTACTTCCATACAGTTAGACAACTTCAGCACCAGATTTCACGTGACAGAGGACAAGAATCTCTGGATACGTGGAAGCCTGTCAATTCACAGATATTTCCAAACCCGTCCCAGGCAGGCATGGGTGACACAGGCACAGCAAGCCTGTCATGGAGGGTGAGAGACCCTGTTAGTGATTCAGCTCTTCAACCCTACACTGCCTTCAAAAGCTATGGCAAGAATCCTGCCATGTCTTTGTCAGATCAGCATTTTGGATCATGGTGAGAAATGAGGTTCTTACTAGATCCTTTGCTTTTGCATGTTTGAATGAGATTTTTTTATAAAGTATAAGTAGTGGAAGTTAATATTCTTTAATGTTTAAATACTAAAGAATTATTTCTAGTTTCACAGAAATTAGACCTATAAAAAAAAAGAAAAAAGAATAACCATTAACTTGTTTGATAAGGAAAAAGATTATAATTGATGTTTAGAGAGGGTTGATGAACTTTTCATCACGGCTTCTTAATGTAATTTTAGAAGTAAGCAAGATTTATATTTTCTCAAGTTTTTCTTTCAAATCCTTTTCAGCCAGCGTGCTTTTAGGAATAACAATTGTCGGATTCAGAGTCAGTCTAGTATGTCTGGATCCAGTTCAAATTTTGGTTTGTCAAGAGTTGATTGTAATTCCCATAGTGAAGGAAACAATCGTGATATAGTTCAGCCATTATACTTGGACAAGACCCCAGAGCAGTTCAAGAAGGGACGATCCCAAAGTAAGTGTAAGCAGGTTCTTTAATATTTGCAGAGTTACTATACCTTTAGTTTTTCAGTGTCATGGTTGATGGTATTGCAATATATTGTTTTATATTTTAGGAATACAATTTCGGATGAGTTCCCCACCAAGCTTTTCGTTCAATACTCGAACACCAGATTCCTATACATTGGATTCCTCACTAAGGTAAGGTTTGGTTTGAGTTTTTATTTTGTATGTAATTTCAGACATGCTAAATAGCAAATGTAATAGAAAGCATTATTGGTATTATGGTTGTTTTGAAACTTTAATATATCCTGATAACATTTATTTTCTTCTCTTTTATAAATGTTTAGGGCAAGAAGTCCCTCTCCTTTGTTATGGAGTGGTATGAGTCCTGTGAAGCCTGTATGGAGTCCCTCGCCTACAGTTGATGCACAAGGACAAATCCTTTATGGACTAAAGGAACTCTCCCTTGGGGAAGGAGTTATAGTAAGTCCTGTCTTTACAGTCTTTCGTTTTACTCCTAGATTGAAATATCTTGGCTTTGTATAAATGATAAGATTAACTTTTGAAGTTACTTCATGTATAATACTCTGCTTAATGTTAATAACACTCGACCCATTGGTGCAGGGATGATAAAAATGTGTACTATGTCCATTGTCTTTACACATAGTTGGCTCCAATACTTAAATCCCCAAGGAGTTGGTGCTAGTCCAACCTCACATATTTATTTTATTCCTTGATTCTCTGAAGGATTGTTTTTATTGCTATTGGTATTCTTTATAAAGTAATTGTGTTGACAACGGTATCGGAGGTCAATAGCATTTGGATAAACCTTTTTCTGAACTTTGTATGTTGTCATAGACCTACTAATTGGGTTTTTGGTGGCTGTACACTTGTGTATCCATCTATGAGCAAACAAACTTCACTGAAGAAAATACTAGATATATATTTTTTCCCCCCCCACTTGATTTGAGCCAAGCTTATGATATACAATAAATATCTTCTCTTTATCTGTATCTCTCTCTGTTTATTTATCTGTCTATATATAAACATAGTCCGTCTAAAATATGTTGTACTAAACCCTTTGCTGTAGCCAACAGTGTGGTCTAACATTTTAAACACCTTTCCTGCTCAATATATGAAGTTGAAAGTGTTCCCCCATTTACTCTGAAAATTCTTTATATGGATTTTTTTTTCTCTCTCTCTCTCTATCCAGGATACAAGTCTAGCTACTGTCCAGCAAGTCCCAGTAGAATTACAAGTAACAAATCTTGATCAAAACATTGATGCCAGAGAGATGAAACGCATCCTTTTCACAATATTTAGAGATCATGTAATGGTAAGTGGCTTAGAGGAATTTGACTTTTCTCACATATAAAATGTCTTTATAGGGGAGATGGAAAAATGTGATGGCATCATTCCTTTACATTGTACTTTTCTTCAAGTTCTGAGTTTAATTTCTCTTTTAGGTATTGCATGTGTCCGTGTTTGTTCAATCTGATGGTAATTTGGCTGCTACCTTGCGCGTACCCTCACAGCAAGATGCTCAGTATGCCATTTCTCAACTTCACCGTAAAAAGATTGGTGCTAAGAGGATTATCATATCCTATGTGAATCAAAATCAACCATCACCAGAATTGAAGAGGTATGATACTTGAAGTGTGAATTGACATTGCTTGAAGTAGTGTTATAGAAGTTAAATAATTGAAGTTAATAAACCTGTATTCCTAGATGTTATTATAGTTACATTTTCAGGTCAAAGGTCATAGCTCTGCTGCAGGAAGTTCCTGGAAAAAAGCTTCCTCTTTTCAAGTTTCGAGAGCTTTATGAGAGACGTTTTCACGAAACCATTGGTGTATCAGAGATGTATAACATGCGGGACATAGTGACTGTATCTGATAACAGTACAGGTAGGATGGTCTCCCTTCATCCTGAGTTCAGACACATGAGCTCCCCAATCTTGACTGAGTCAGCACAAGAGGAAGTAAGTGGTAGTATATCATCCAGATACTGTAAGATCCATAGTTCTGGCCCTGATGATTCCATTGGTTGGGCAGAGCGTGATCAGAGCTCAAGTCTGCCAAATGTGAATATGACTTTGCGGACTTTGGCTGGAAGTATACACTCATTGCTTCAGTCCCACTCGGGTTCACTCCCATTGGCAAGTTTGGTAGATTGTTATGAAGCAGAAATTGGCCCAGTTGACGAAGCAGAGGATGGTGTACCTTTGGAACACTTGGTCTCCTGTTTGCCAGGTGTGTGCATAATGACAGCCACTGGTGGTTTCAAGTATGTACAGTGGGTTGAGAATAAAGTAACAGATGAAGCTGAAGAGCTAGCTCGATGCGTGAGTCCTCCACTTGTTGGACAGTTGGCACTCTTTTCAAGAGAATTAGTAGATCTCCTTAAAACGTTCCCATATTGCCGTTTACCATTTTCTCGGTTCATACCAGCATACCATCATCATTTTGGCAGGCAGTGTAGAGTAGCTGACTATGGATTTACCAAGCTTGCAGACCTATTTGAAGCTCTCCCTCATGTTGTACAAGTTTTGGGGGAAGGAAATAAACGCATTTTGACACTTGCTCACAAAGCTCAGGTCAAAAGGTTTTCTTCAGATCTTTTGAGGGTATTGAAGGGCCAGCCGACAAAAGCCATAACACTTGAGGCCTTTCCAGTCGCTTATGAAAAAGCGTTGACAAGAACATGGAATGTGATTGATTATGGAGTATGTGATGTTGAGGATCTGCTGACTGAAGTTAGTGAAACCACAGTGATAGTCACCCGATCTGGCACAGAGACTACAATTGCTATTCCAAAGCGCGAACAAACTCCAGAAGAAATAGAGCGAACGAGACAGTTTGCTGCTGAAGTTGTTGAGTTACTTCGGCACTCTCCACAATGCAAAATGCAGTTCAATCGTTTCATTCCAGCTTATCACCACCATTTTGGAAGGCAGTGTAGGGTGGCTGACTATGGGTTTAGTAAGCTCATTGAACTATTTGAAGCCATTCCAGATGTTCTTCAGGTAAATTTGAATTCCTGCCATTGTGATTTCAATTTTTTGTCTAAAGTGTATGATATTGAAGATTTAGTAATAATGATTACATACCATAATACATATAGATAGTAATGAAGTTTGCAAATTTAGGTCTATGATGACGAAGAAGATGGAGAGAAGCAGTTGCAGCTGGTGGAACGAGAACGTGTCCGTGTACTAGGAGATCAAGTTGGAGCAGTGGTACGAGGAGCTCCTAGGCAAGCTATCAGGATTTCTGCCTTGACCCAGGTCTTCACTCGTTATTATGGGTATTCTTTGAAACCCTCTCATTATGGTGGTAACACTTTGGAAGAGCTTATAGGAAAGCTTAGAAATCATGTGAAAGTAAGTTTAATAGGTTGGGTATTTTCTTGTCTAAAATAATGAAAAGGAATGCAAGTGCATTATCATTCAAAAATATATCCTTTAATGTTGTAATTACAACTAATCACTTCCATAATTATAGCTGGTGGAAACTGGTGATGAACCTGTAGTGGCCCTTGTTGACCGAGGATATGTGCATGAAATCATGGTGCGAGCACGGAAACTTCTCTGGGAGGACTCCAGCTGCAGCTATCCTCTAGATAAATTTGTTCAAACATACACTGACCGTTATGGCCATCCTCCAAGCATAGAAGTGATTAGACGGGACTTGGAAGATGTACTTGTGGTAAGTTGCTGTCTTTCATTTTTGCTTATTATTCCAGCCCTCCACCCCCTCTATTCCATATGTTTTTTGTTTTGTTTTTTTCCTGATGGAAATCTTAGATGTATAACTGACCCAGATGCACTTTATTTAGATTGAGGGTGAAGGGGAAGAAGCCAAGGTTAACCTGGTGCCACTGCAGATGTTTGCCCGAGATCTCTTGACACTTCTCCATGAAGCTGGGGGTCGTATGCTACTTCTGAATTTTGATACAGCCTATCTTGACCGTTTTGGTAAGTTCTCAGCCCATTGGATATTAATTAGATATATGGTTATGATAAATAGTATGCAGGATTGGACTTTAGAATCTTTTTACTATTCTGAATATTTGTATGAAAACTTTTTTTTCTCAGGTGTTGCATGTCGTCCAGCGACTTATGGTTTTCCCAATATAGTGGCTCTGGTTCAAGCCCTAGGAGATTTGGTGGCAGTTAGAGGTCGTGGAACAAAAAGAATACTTGTCTTAAATAGGGACTCTGCTCCTTCCCCTCCTAGCTTCCACATTCCTACATCAAGGTGAGTAAATTTCTATTTTGGAATATTCGCTTACCTTTGCTGTCTTACTTTACAAAGTAATTCATGACTTTTTTTTTCTTTTTACATTGTGGCAGTTCCTCTTTCTATGGAGACAACACTGAGGGTGCCAGTGCAAATAGTGATGCCAAGCCACCACCTCCAAGTCATCTTCCTCCTCCAAATAAAGTCACCCCACCTCAGCAGTGCGATTACCAGCGCTATATACAAGGTTGGTTTGTCTTGTTTATAAGATTTATCAAATTTGCACTATAGTTGTCAGTATCCAGGAGTCATTAAGGGGATGGGAGTATGGAGATATGAAGATATCATGGTTGTCTGGAAAAATCTTGCATATAGTAAAACCCTTGCATTATCAAGACAACTGTACAGCAAACAGAACAATAGGGATTAGATTAGTCTTAAAAGAAGGTTTAAAAGTGAAGCTGTAATAGTGTATGCAGAAACAAATGAGGCAGGTATTTTAAGAATATACTGTCACAAGGTGGGGGGGAAATCCCCCCCCCCCCTCCCCACCTTCCCTCAAAAATAAAAGATAAAATAATTAAAAGAAAGATACTTCAAATACATAACATATTTATATAGAAAAAAATATAGGCTTAAGGTTATAGGCGTACTCTTACCTTATGAGGGGAACCATTGTGAATAATGTATAATAAGTAAAATGATGTCTAAGTGAATAATTTCTGTAATATAAGATGTCACCATAATTATTTCCAGTTGCATGGGAAATTGTCTGCAGGCACTTGACCTAGAGCCATGTAGGTCCAGTCAAGTTCATTTCCAAAGTGATTGCTTTACTTGTTTTAAGGCACATGTGTAACACTTCTTCCAATTTGCCGGTTAATTGCTTCAACTGGTTTTTCAGTTTTGAGACAAACAAACTTAGTTAGTCCTTTTTCCATTGTAACTGCCTTGTATCACTTATTTGCTCCAATACTTGATCATCTCACCCAGCCATATCACAATTGCTGCCATCCATGAATCCCCCCCCCCCCCCCCCCAAAAAAAAAAAAATCTTGTATTTATATTTATATATATATATTATATATATATATATATATAATATATATATTATATATATATATATTATATATATATATATTAAATATATACTTGGGGAAATGGGGAGGACATCTATATTTTCCTTTGTTGATTGTGATCCTACATTCTGCATCCTACATATCCTTATTTTATCTCGAATAAATGTGTTCATTGTTTACTGGCTTGAGGCATTTAAAATGTATTGAGATCCAATAATGCAGAATGTGTAATGCTGTACAATTGGTTGTAAATTATGGCGGAGAGGACTGAGAAGCATTCTCCACTCACTCACTCGGTGCATAACTGCAGCTGTCAAGGGGGAGGGTAGGGAGAGTAAGAAAGATGTATAGCTACACTAATCACATTTATAGGCTTATACGAAGCACACATAGGGTGATGAGGTATTATAAGCATCTGGCAATTGCACACCCCTTTTGCTTGGCATGGGGCAGGGGATATTGGGGGAAGTGGCTTGTGGAGACTTAAAAAGGCCAGATGGTATTTTAGATACTGTATACAGATTTGTAAGGCCCATATGGATGTAAGTTCCATTTTCAAAAAATAAACAAAATTGTTGATTGTATCTGTTAACCCATTTACAACAGGTGTCCCATATATGAGACACCCGGAAAAAATAAACATTGCCGTCATCCCGCCAGTGTGACGTTGGATCGGAGCTCGTGCTCCAAATACGTTGCAGGCTACGGCCAGTGCGCAGGCAGATTCCGGGCCAGCCCCGCATGCTGATTTTGTAGCCACGTGGAAACTATTATTTTCAGCTTCCAAATATACTGGCATTAGTGGGTTAAGTGAATGAGTATTTCTAATGGCGTTTTTGAAAAGTGAGAGATCTGTTTCTTCCCTACCAATATTGTTTACCAGGCTCAAATTTAACCTTCTGATCTCTTGATCTCAGTGCTGAAAGGTCATGGAAATCATCACTCAGAATCACTGTACATCTGTATGAAGAGCTTGATGTTTCTTCAAAAGAATTCATTAAAAAAAAAGCATTCCTACAAAGCAAGTTTAAGTTCAAGCAAGTTCAACTATAAAAATATCAGATACATATTAGTTGGCCAAATGCATAGATTGAACAATGACTAAATGCAACATTATGGGATGTATATCTTTTACCATTTTAAGATTTTCAATAAGTCATATCTGGAAAGGTTGTAGTGTTTGTCCAGTGGTTTTAGGTAGGTCATTTTGGGGACCTTTTGACCTCCCAGAACTAGTTTCCTACTCTCAGCTGAAATTAATTTGCTAAACAAAAACTTGTTGGTCCAAATGCTAGTCAGGAAAATCTTCTGTTCCAAGTTCATATTTCTAGTTATCCATACCAAACTACTTTATATATACAGGCACGTTATGATAGACTAAATTGTTAAAGATATATCAAGTCTGCATTGATCTTCATATACTTTAGTCACTGTATTACAGCATAAATTTAGGCATAATTTTGCTGACATTTTCTTTTCAGAAGCTAATTCAAACAGTCACTTAATGATGGGAATGAATGCTCCAACCCCCCATCCCTCCTACCAGCCTTCATCACCTGTGGTATGTCTTGTCCCTTGCAACATGGGTTGAATGCCTGGGGAGTTTCATAATTTCAGGTGAAGGGAGATATGCTATAAACTGAAGAAATTGGCAGCATTGAGAGATGTGAATTTTTACTTAATTCCATTCAACAAATTTGGTTGACATATGTTAACCATTGTTTTCTGTTTTAAAGGTTTATCCTGGCTCTCCAGCACCAACAGGCGTTCAGTTATGTGGGGCCAGATGTGGTCACCTCAATACCCAGTTATGCCCCCACTGTCCCCTGCTCACTACATGGTAAGTGCATATATACTCTTAAAGGAAGAAAGAGGAACTTTTAAAATTTTGTCTTGAGCTTTAACTTTCCCAACTGAATTACGATGAAAAGGAGAATTGTATGAATGGGATGAAATGCATTTCCACGTTTAGGTGCCAACACTTCCCATGAGTTGGGGAAGTATGCCAGCCTCTCCTGCTGGTCCCTGGGATCCTCCACTCCCCCAGCCCCATTGCTGGGCACCATGGCACCCCCGATCTCCATACATATGCTCGATGAGCTCTCCAAGCAGGTACAGTCTGCTGAAGTAAAGCAGCCTCATGTTAGGGCATGATGATTTGACCAACCATAAGTCTTTAAACAGAATTGGGGTTGCCCTGGTGGTGGGACTTGTAGTCCAGCAAATTTATGTAGATAATTCAGTCCTGCACATCAGACCTCTTGGCTAGTAATTAGTAGGAGAGCTGTCCTCCTTATTTTCTATGAATGTGCTCGAATACCGTTAGAAATTTTATTTACAGATTAAATTTTTGTAGTTTCCTGTGTATTTTGAGGCTCTAATATTCCCTTTTCATCACAATACTACATTTTACTATTTCATTCTGCATCCAATTATATTACTGTTGATATTCTTGTGTACTAACAATATCTTATCAAATAATGGCACATGATATTAATTATAGTTAAATTTTTACTCCATGACATTGAAGTAATGGAAGTCTTTTAATTCTGATCATGTGATAAGCTTCTCCCCCCCCCCCTCTGCAGCACTGCTTTTATCTTTTATTTTAAAGGTTTACCAATGATACTAACCCTCTACCCCACAGTTAGATGAATTATGTAGAAATGACAATGTTCACTTGATTATGCTTAGAAATGTGACAATTAGTTCTACATCACACTTGCTTCCAAGGAGTATGCAGGGACAGCTAGATGAAATGCTAGCTCTAGCGGACTTACCATGGAAAGATTGGTATAAATCTTGATTCACTAACAGGGACTGCCCCCAAAAGTGGTAGTGTTGAGCATGTGTAAAATTGATTAATATTAAAACCTATAACACCAGATAAAGTTTGGCAAGTGAACATACTCTCAGGATTGTTGACATGCATTGACAGTTTCCCCTGTTTGCTCATGGCTCACTCAGTAGTTTGTGGGAGCACGAGCTCCGATCCAACATCACACTGGCGGGATGCCCAGCAATGTTTATTTTTCCGGGTGTCTCATATATGGGACACCCATATATATTAGGAGAAATAGTGCTGATGGACAATAAAAAATGAATAAATAGAAAAAGGAACTGCTTAATTTTTGCCAGACCTCTGGTTTGAGACCGTCCAAGATGGGAGGTGGGGGGGGGGGTCAAATTGTGTTAGCTAGTGTATAGTATAGGTACATTGATGAGGAAACTACCAAATAACTATTAAAGCTCTGCTGTGGCTTGTTGTCTTACAGCTGACGGGAGACCCGTTTAAACACCTGGGCATGTGCATCACTAATGTGAGCGCCCAGGTACACCTAATGAGTACGTGAATGTTCAAGTAACACTTTTATACCTTTATCAGAAAAAAAATTATATCGGTGATTTATGACGAAATATTTTGTGAAATATATCTTTAAAAAAAAAATAAGTTTTATCCTTTTGCGCACGAAATATGCTTCTATCGAAACTCACTGGTAATATTATGTAGCTTACAAAGTGATCTGTACTTCTACCAAGTACAAAGCACTAACGTTTGAAAATAGCCGTAAAAGTAAGGATTGAAATATTACCGCTACACTTGACTCAATGGTCAGTACATCAGAGCATGGGTAAATTTGATTTGATTTAAAATTGGTCGTTGCCGTTGTAAAGACCAATTCAATAGGAAGGTTACCTAAATGTCAGATGTGATTAATTTTTTTTTTTTTTTTTTTTTTTTCCCCCCCCCACTTTCTGTAATACCATCTCTGCCATGGTCAGTCAGAGGCTGAAAAGACTTTTGGAGGATTATCAAAGGTGTTTAACCCATCAGCAACGGGTAAAAATTTTGTCAAGTTTATGTATGCGCCGGCTTGTGGCGTGCACTGGCAGTTTCCCCTGTTTGCGCCCTGCTCGATCGTAGTTTGTGAGCGACATATAGCACCTAAAAGCTTTTATTTTGCTAAAATTTATAAAAATATTAAAATGTTGAAGGTTTACCTTCACTTTAGGTGCCATTGCCTAAAATCTTTACTATATAAATGAAGCCGCTACTAGTGGAAAAAACAACCTCCGTCCGACGAGCCAGTAGCGTGGGAATGGGCATGGTATGATGCCACCGGCGTTTGGTCCACAACAGCCATGGCATGTACATACGTGACACCCGGCGCCAATGGGTTAACACGCATGTTATGGGATAGACAATACTTGACACCCAGCATGTGGATTCGGTGTCATGGGGAGCATAAATGTTAATTGACACACATGTCATCAATGCTTGAAAGGGAAAGACTTATTTATTTATTTTATTTATTTATTCTTTTTACCTAAATAAAGGCTATATTAATGGAATGAAACAAGCTGTGAAGTATCCCATTTCTTTATCATTTACTATCAATAGATTTGTAACTGCAAAATACAGCATAATCTGTAGTCTAGGGTGACTACTGTATACTGCATCCTCTTGAAGTATGCAAGAAATTTATAATCGGAAGCAACTATTTTTGGCCTCTTTCTTTGTGTATGTAGGATGGATGTTAGCCTTTTTTGTATGTGTATACATTACATTTATATTGCTCTTGTTCTTTAACCCTACACTGATGAGGCATAATTTTGTGTATCAATTATTCTGGTGACTATTACTTTCCGGCAGGGAATTTACTGTGTAAAGCCAGACTGTCCTCTCACTCACTAGAGCAAGTGATAACATGTATACATGTTTCCTCTCATGATGATAGGATTTCTAGGACAGCTATAGGTGTACTGATTAAGTAAGGGGTTGATAGTTGCTACATAATGAAATGCTTAAAAATCTATGAACATGTCCAGACCTATTTTCCAACCAAAATGTGCATGTGTAGAGCAGAGCAATTTTTAATGTGTGAAGCCACTAGAAAACTGAATTTCAGAATTGGGTATGTTAACTTTTGAAATGTAATGAAGTTCAGGTTGTGGTTTTTAAATAGTTTTTTTTTTTAAGTGGATGGATATGAAATTAAAAAGTAATGCATCTTCATATGTATCTTCCATTTGTAAGAAAATATTTTTAATGCTTTTGTCATACATCATAAAGAAATGTATAATATATTATTCCTAACATAAAGTAAAGTTTGGCTTCCACTACAGGCAATGCATTTGGGATAAATAGCTAGTAAATTTTGCAGGATTTAGGAGTTAATTAACTTTCAAGTGTGTAACCCCTCATGCTTTCTTTTTCAGGCGGGTAAATTGAATGAGGAATATGCAGCACCCCCGAGTGCTAGCGAGTTGCCACCCCCGGAGCTTTTCACACAAATGCATCCCCAGGAGCAAATGGCAGCCCAAGTAACTGCTCCTGATAATTGTAACCAGGTAATAATTTTAATAGCACATAATTTTTTTTAATTTTTGTATAGTGGGATGATATACCAAAGACAATAATTTCATTCATGGTCTATTAATGCTTTGTATAGTTTCCAGTCTCTCTCCCTCTCTCCCCACCCACCACCCAATCCCCTTCTTTTCTTTCTCTAAGCTTGCTTTAAGTTTATCACTGAAGTTTATGTATAGATGGCTTGGTTATCTAGGAGTCAATTACTAGTCATGTATACCACACTTATTTCCCATTTTCCTTGATTATTTAAAGTATTATATTACTAATGCTATTTGCATTATAATGATAGGGCCTATGAAAATATCATCCATATTGCTAGCATTAGTTTATAAAAAAAAAAAAATAGTAAATAATTTTGAGGGAATTTCACAAATCAAAACTACAGTAAACATAACATTTTCCCAACGAAAGCGTATTACTTCCTTGCTGGAGATTTTTTTTTCTTCCCTTTCTTTTTCTTCTTTCTTTCTTTCTTTGTTTTACTACTTTATATAAAAGCATGTTAAATTTGTGAACCGATGTGTCACTCTTATTTTCTAGGAAATGCTTTTTCTTCAAATACTTGAATTGCTTTTTATTAAAAAACTGTTGCTTTGGGCTTTTAGTTACAAAAGTCAAGGAGTGGTTTGGAACTTATGAACAAGCCACAGCCAGGCATGCAAATTTTCCACTTCATCATTTGCTCAAATGTTTACAGATGCACAGGGCTCCACACTTCTGAAACTTGGGCCCAAACTGTTTGTAGGAGAGGTGATGAAAAGCTAAAAACAGGATGGCTCGCATTGTCATTGTCATCTCACTGAACACCTGTAAAGCGATGCAGCAGAACACACAAACACCCATTCAAATCTAGATGTTTTCCTTTTATGCTATTTTAAAATCTTGGTGTATAGGAATTCTAGCAGTATATCCATTATATTATATTATTTGATATGAAGTTATATAAATCATCTGTGTATTTGGTAGTCTTATCTCTCAGCCAGTGAGGATTTGGCCAGAAGAGTATGAGTGATGGCTTGAGGATGGGTTTAGACAAGTTAATTTTCCTGAATTATTATTCTGCTGCTTGTTTTGAAAAAATAAAAAAATATGATGTATACTAAGCTGTCCATTTTCGAACAGACATCAAGCAGTGTAATCTGTGAAGAGGCTGATGACACGTGTCCAGCTGCAACAGTGATGCAGATAAAGGTGAAGGTAACACCACCTCAACACCAGTGGCACCAAAACTCCGCACAAAGCGACGTTTAGCAGCACAATTTGCAGCAAATTGAATAAGGAATTTTCCAATAAAGTACAGCATTGTGTCATCACAATAGCCTAGTTCCATAAGTACTGGTTTAGGTGTGATTTTGTGCAATAATTTTTGAGTTCTGTAAAATATTTATGTCCGTCCAT